AATCTTAAGATGTATTAGGTATTGTGGATTAATGGACAGAATAAGGGAATCACGTATGAAACGAATCATTCTCTTCACACTCCATCACAGCAGGTGGCGGTATGCTCCTATGAAGTTGGTTGTTCAGAATGCAAACAAAAACAGTTATCTCTTTTAAATGGATACCTGCACATATAGGAATAGAAGGAAATTAACAGGTGGATCAATGGGGGATAAAAAAAAAAAAAAAAAAAAAAAAAAAAAAAATATATATATATATATATATATATCATAGACTATATATATATATATATTAAAACATCCAGACATAGAGTTTAATGTTCCGATGTATAAATTAGCAATAAAAGGGCTAATTAAAAAAGCATTCAAAGATATGTGGCAAAGTAAATGAGATGGTGATAATAAAGGATGGCATTTATATAATATTCAAAAAATAGTTGGAAATGAGAGGAGAATTTTTGGGAATAGAAAGGAAGACAGCATAATATCTCGTATTAGAATTGGACACACTGCACTTAATCAATCATTATATACAATAGGAAAACATGAATCTGGACTTTGTGTTAAATGTGATCTTCCTGAAACAGTTGAACATATTTTAATAAAATGTAAAGGATATGAGAATGAAAGATTACAACTTACAGAAGCACTTCATAGGAATTAATCAGATCTCACTTCAGAAATTGTTAAATAAAGATGCAACATGTTTCACATATACTATTTAAGTATCTCAAAGACACATAATTAATTAACAGGATTTAAAGAATTATATATATATATACAGTGGGGCAAAAAAGTATTTAGTCAGCCACCAATTGTGCAAGCAATAACGTCTCTACGCATTTCTTTTCTAACAACTCAATGCAATTTTATATCAATGAAAAATTCAAAGAAGTAATTTGTGTCAACACATATTGAAACATTCAAAAAATAAAAAGTTATTTGTGTGAAAGCATATTGCTGATTATTGCCATATAATTCACTTATGTTAATGGTGTTTGTGGTCACAGTTTCATTCGCTGATCCTTTATGTCAGATACGACTGACTGACCAATAGTGACTAGCCTACAACTTGGATAAGATTCCTAAAAGTTTAACACATTACAGACATTGATGCATAAACGCGGATATGTTCTACATGTCTACAGTATAAAGAATGAATAAACCTTATAAACTCCTTGATTTCGCTTAAGCAACTTTAAATATAATATGCATGCACAATAAACTATTGTAAAATTTATTTACATCACTCGACAGAAAGGTTTTTTTCAGGTTTTAATAAAATGTAAATTAATAACAGTCATAATAAGCATATTTCCAGTACGCGCCTCAGGCTTGCACAGTATCTTTTTTTAAATTTATTTATTTTTTATTCAAGGAAAAATAACACACAATAAAACAACATTAAAATAAGAAAATAAAAAGATAGAAGGACAAATTACAACAAAAAAAACAATTGCCAGGGGGAGGAAAGTATAAAACTTCAAAATAAAAATACAAGATATACAGTGGGTACGGAAAGTATTCAGACCCCCTTAAATTTTTCACTCTTTGTTATATTGCAGCCATTTGCTAAAATCATGTAAGTTAATTTTTTTTCCTCATTAATGTACACACAGCACCCCATATTGACACTGAATACTTAGGACCATGTGTTATTTCAGTTTTTCTTTTTTAATAAATCTGCAAAAATGTCAACAATTCTGTGTTTTTCTGTCAATATGGGGTGCTGTGTGTACATTAATGAGGAAAAAAAATTAACTTAAATGATTTTAGCAAATGGCTGCAATATAACAAAGAGTGAAAAATTTAAGGGGGTCTGAATACTTTCCGTACCCACTGTACATACATACATACACTTGTACGTATATATAAATCAAATAAATATATTGTAAAGTTCACAAACTTTCAAAGTTCTTACAGCTTTCTTATTCACAGAGTCTCTGATACTGTCAATATATATAAATATTTCAGTCAACAAAACCATAAAATTGGGTTTTTTATTGGTAAATTTACACTTATGAATGTGAAATTTGGTCAATAGAATAAGTAAATGAATTAAGTAAAAGTACTGTTCCTCTTGGTCAGGATAGTCAGTAAAGCCAAAGAGTACATTTTCCCATAGGAGTGAAGAAGGTCTTAAACTCTGAATATTTTCGTTAATAAATTTTTGGACCTTACGCCATAGTGTAACCAAGTACAGTACCAAAATAAGTGCAAGGCAGTTTCCTCATACTCATTACAAAAAATAAAATTTACATTTATTCCTTTTTAAAATTTTTGTAAATAATGATTTGCTGGATAAAATCTATGAATAAGCTTATAAGAAACTTCTTTAATCTTATTTCTAAGATGATATTTCTGTGGTAACAACCACACTTTTCTCCGGCAAATCAATTTTCCGTTCAAAAAAGAGACCCAATGAGACAAAACATAAGGTACAGTAACAATTTCTCTTTGGAAAAGAGTACGGATAGCTCTATTATTATTTTTGGGATTTAATGAAAAACAAATTTTACCAATATAAGATTTACTAACATCAAAAGACACTAAATCGGGAGAATGGTCTATATAAATACCTTTAAATAGCATGCGAGTACCTGAAGGGATTGAACCAATAACAATTGCAAATTCTTTTTGAGTAACTGGCATTTTACAATAAGAAAGGAATTAATCATAAGAAAGGAGTGTTCCTTCTTTTTTACATAACTGACTAACCAATTTAATATCGTTGTCAAACCAGTTCTTAAAAAAAAGAGATTTATGTTTGTAAAGAATGTTTCTATTATTCCAGATGAAATAGCAATGCGGTGAAAAATTATGCTTATATATTAATGACCAAGATAGGAGCACTTGTTTGTGGAAGGCAGATAACTTAGCTGGAATTTGATCTATATTATAATTACACATCAAAACAAAACTAAGACCACCAATATTTGAAAAAACATAATGAGGGATAAAATTGCAGACAGAAGTGGGTTTTTTTAAGTGATGCTTAATCCAATTAATCTTAAAGGTGTGGTTCATAGTGGTGAAATCTAAGAAATTAAGGCCACCGTTCTCATATGTATTCATAATCACAGTCTTTTTAACATAGTGTGTTCAATTTCTCCATAGGAAATCAAAAAGCATCTTATCAATATTTTTACTAGTATGGTTATCGAGATACAAAGATAAAGAGGCATATGTCAGTCGGGCTAGGTTTGCACAGTATCGTCAACTCAATCAGAATCCTCGGCAAACTTCGCCATGGCTCATTCGGTTCTTGTTGAGTCCTCGGTAATCCTCGGCAAACTTTGCTGTAGTCTGTGTGGATTACCAGAAACAGTAGAGCATGCACTATTACTTTGTTCTGCTTATGATAATGAAAGAGCATTTCTGTTGGAAGAATTAAAAGAAATAGGGATAGAAAATATTACACTTAAAACTTTGTTGAATAATGGCTTGAATCATTATAAAATATATAATGCTTTTAGGACATTCTTAAAAAAAGTAGATCTGTTTAACAGGATTTTTTATTTAAAAAAAATTATATTATTATTATATAATTTTTTAATGTATTATTATTTAGTTCTTCCTATTCCATCAATGGTCCACACTCCAGCCCAATAGATGGCGGGAATGCACCTATCGTTTGTTTGCCAACCGCAATAAAACTCCAAAAGAAGAAGAAGAAGAAACTTCGCCGCGGCTCACTCGGTTCTTGTTGAGTCCTCGGTAATCCTCGGCAAACTTCGACAGTTGGTTGAACCGGCTCAATCGGTTCTTTTTGAGTTGGACGTGGTACTTCTGGCTGTGCGTCCTGCGTCATCAACCCGGAACTAAAGTTCGATTCAGTTCGATTTGTGAACCGGCTCGACAGGTTATTTACTGAGAACCGGCTCAAAAGAACGAGTCGTTCAAGAACCTGACATCACTAGTATCAAGTTGTTTGTGTGGGCACATGGAAAAGAGGTACAACGAACAAAATATGTGATTACTGGATTGTTGACAGTTTACACGTTTATGTTGTGAGGCAAAAATATATCTAGAGCACTGACGCGATAAACATAATTTTACTGTAGTGTGTTTGAGTGTGTGACCTCAAGCGCTCACTGAATAGTCTGCACCAATGTCGCATGCCTACAAAACAATGCGCTTACAGTTAACATGGCCACTGTTGAAACAAATCATCATTATACCAAAAACATGCTTCAGTTATTCAATAACCAGCCGCTGTGCTGTCAACACTGGCTGTAAGCTTGTAAAGAGAAGAACAGAAAGGTTACCTGCTGACCCAGACTACCTGCTGACTGGCATACTCTCTCCTGGGAAGAGAGACTGGCTGACAATGTGACTCCTCTGTGGAGAATGAGTTATGAGGAGCAGAGCAACATCTTACTTGAGATGACAAAGCAACTAGCTCAGGACTTAATGCACCCTTTCTCAAATTACTTAAGTTTCCCCCACCTTCCATAGTAGCCTCACCAGTGAGTGATGGATACCACAATAAATCAACCTTCTCTGTCAACAGAGGGGTAGATGGGAATCCAAAAACTGCTGGATTTTATATCGGCAATGGAAAAACTGACAACATTGACTGTGTCCAAGGTGACCATCTCCTGAACATGTCTTCAAAACACAAGATGATTGCAAGGCACTATGAAGATTTTATTCGCCTCTGACCACTCAAACCATGCCTTTTATTTCACGATGGTGGTCACTGGAGAGAAATCACGATAAGAACAAATTCTGCCGGTCACACGATGGCCATAGTTTACTTTCATCCTCAAACCCTAACACCTGAGGAGATAGGCGTCCATAAAGCTGCTCTGGTGGAGTACTTCACATAAGGTCCCAGAGCAGTTTGTCAGCTGGATTCTCTGTACTTCCAGGAGACCACAATGACCCGTTGCAGTCATGAACAATCACCCTATCAGCTTCTGCATGGACAGTCTCATATCTTTGAGGAGGTGCTTGGCTTTGGGGAAGTCGTGGCCTAATGGTTAGAGAGTCTCGTACCGGCAGGGATTGTAGGTGGGGGGAGTGACTATACAGCACTCTCTCCCACCTTCAATAACACGACTGAGGTGCCCTTGAGCAAGGCACCGAACCCCCAACTGCTCCCCGGGCGCCACAGCAAAAATGGCTGCCCACTGCTCCGGGTGTGTGTTCACGGTGTGTGTGTGTGTTCACTGCTGTGTGTGTGTGTGCACTTGGGTGCACACACACACAAGGATGGGTTAAATGCAGAGCACTAATTCCAAGTACAGGTCACCATACTTGGCCACATGTCATGTCACTTTCACTTTCACTTAATTTCCGCATTTCTGCTGATTCTTTCTTCCAGGTGAATCGGGGAGCTCATATTTCAATTTCTCTCAGGCAAAGCAGAAGTTGTTCTACCAAATCTGATGGCCACTTTGAATTGTGACGGTGGGCTGACAGCTGGGCTGAATCCGTCCAGGGCTGGCCTATATTATCGAGTTGTCAAGAGCCTTGAGGTACCACCCAGCCATAAGAAGGCTTGTCTATATATCACGCAAACCTGATGGGGAGGCAATGAGGAACTTTAGAGGCCTGTGCTGTAGTTCAGACTATAAGACACCAACTATAGCCGTCCCTGTGGACCTGTTTCCACACACTCCTCACTGTGAACTAGTGCTTGTGTTTGAGCGATAGTGGCTGTTTTTGTGAAAGTAGTTGTTTTGGAATTAATTCCGATAAATTACTTTTTATTTATGCCATTAAATGTCAATGGAAAATTGTCAATGCAGTTACTCTATATAGGCTATTTATTATAGTTAACTAAAACCATAAAATATATTTTTGCTACTTTGAAAAAGAAAAAAAAAAGGTAATTGAAATTATACATTAATCTGCAAAAGTCTTAGGCCATTAGTATTTTCACCACCACCACCACCAAGAACAACAACAAAAAAATGGTTTTAAGCCTGTTATTTCTATCCTTTGCTGTAGTGTGTCAGTAGGAAATACTAGTTTATATTTCCAAACATTCATTTTGCCATTAATTGTAATAATCCAGTGAGATGTTTGTATGCACAAGGAGGCTGACACTGACTTTTGCACAGTAGTGTGTATGTATATATTAGACATTTAAAAATAATAAAATAAAAAACTACTGTACTGTATATCGATATAAATGGTTACTTGCTGTTTCTTTGTAATTAATTGTGAAATTTACTAGCAATTTCTGAGTGAAATTTGTTTTTACTCTATTATTTTCAGTGCATATAGTAAAAATTTTTAACAGATAATAACTATAATAGCATTTCAATGATACTAAAATAACACATTTAGTCATGGCTTATATTGTAATATATGGATTCTAGCAGATCCCTTACATTATCACTAGAGGGTGCTATTGCGTCATCCCTCCATTTTGTGCAGTGCTGCATAGATGTGGTGCACTGTTAGATATGTCATACATTCATAACCAACTTGATCAGAAAAGACAGTGTTTTTATGTATACTTACAGGATTTGTTAAGTATGATCAAGTTGTGAAAATAGGACAGATTCCTTAAGCATTAACCGCAAGTTCACATTTGAAAATATCAATGCAACAGAATAAACATACCTTGATGAGCACAACTATCATTTTTACTTTAATGTGTTATGCTCTTTCTGTTTAAGTCTGGACACAGATCCACAATCATGGGCTTCAGTATGACACAGTTATGTCTGACTGAGAAAGGCTGATGATTTGGATGAAGCAAGCTTACTACAAATCACCTACTGAACTAGGCAAAAACTGTATAGTAAGTGCACAAATTGAGCAAACATAAAGTAAATGCTTTTTGACCAGAGTCAAAAGACTGAGCCATTTTGTGTAATATGAAACAGTTACATGAGTCCAAAATACAATACCATTCAGTTACTGTAATAATGTGCTTACATTGAAATTGGAGATGAGATCTGGCTATGGGAAATTATAGTAGCCCACAGAAACTTCCCTGTTTGAGGAACTACAGATTTGTTGTCATTTTAGCACTTAAGGATCCATATTTCCTCTTTGTAACACATGTAGCTCTTCAGAAAATCTTATGTTCACCAGTAGACCTATGCTGCTTTTTTAGACTGAGCTAGTAACAAAAAAAAACTCTTATTCTTTTAAAATACTGAAAGGTTTGCATTTGTATTTATAGCTTTGTAAGACATACAGTAACCACATTCACATATGATATTTATAAACTTGTGTGCATTCCCATTAATTCAATAGATTCTACAGATTAACATTATTTTTATGTGTCTGGTTAGTGGTTATACAAACAGTGCTTTCGCATAATAGCCCACATTGACTTGAGAAATATGTTTGGGCTAGAAGGGCAAAGACCTGTATTTTCAAATTTACTCATGGATATGAACTGTATCACACACTGAGAGTAAACAGCTGAAGTGTTGGCTTTCAAAGACCAGCGTACATGGCGTCCACAACATAAGCATCAGATAACCAGGCAACCAATGAAACTGGTAGGGCTAGATGGCATCCTTTCAGCCTCGCCCAATTGCATCATTTTCAACGAAATCAGAGGCTTAGTCACGCCAAAAAAATTAAACCACTTGACTGGGGAACCTGCCTGCTAGCATCAAATCAAATTGCGATAATTCTTTATGGTTGCATCGCAAACAAGGTAAGCGCGTTGCAGATGCGCGAATGCGGCTTTATTTCAGCTTGCCTTTATTGAGACAGAAGTCACACCCATTTTGTGCACAATTTAATGTATTCATTGCACGAGCGCTTTGTCTTTTAAAATAATGATAACTGAAATGACAGATGGCTTTTCTTTGTTGATGGTCGTGAACATATAATCGACTCGTTCTCTTTACAGGAGTCAATAACGAGCATGAAAGAAATGGCCGAAACGACGACAACAGAGGATGTTTATGACGATGCATACGAGGAGAAACCGGGCCCGAGACCTCCAGTGCAAATCGTGTGGAGAAACGTTATATTAATGTCCCTATTGCATCTAGGAGCTCTTTATGGTCTGACGATTCTTCCCTCTGTCTCTTCCTTAACGCTGATATGGAGTGAGTATGTTACTGCCAAGTCTGATTCTATGAACTGACTGACGTTTGTTTTAATCGCAACCTGTTCATGTGTTTATTGCGTTTTTATTTTTATGGCCTAATGTTTATGTATAAAGAGACTGGAAAATGTTGTAATGTCTGCAATTACGTGTTTTGTACCTACTGTGCGTCTTAGGCCCAGATATAATATTTTAATCATGTTAATTAAGACAAATGTAGGCTATAATTTTAATAAAATATAAAGTTATTTTCACGTTTATGTTCACTGAAAGTCTATTTTGTGTCGTTTGCATGTGTCTATTAGAAATACATTGGAAATCGATTCATTAGTGTGGATTTTATATATCAAATGAAACCGGAAATCCTGCTGCTCTGTATTATATCAGTTTTGTTTTTTTACATCCATTCACATTATTATGAATCAAACTATAAATCAGACATGGCATTTAACTTGCCATTAAAAAAAGATTTGCCCCCCCTCATGCAAATCTTTCATATTTTTTATTCTGCCTTGCAACGTTTGCTGTCAGAAGATATATGTGTGGTGGTGGTCATGACTCATGTATGTTTTAACCCCTATCGCTCCTGTATAATTGGTTAAACTCAGCAACACTCTGCAGTTTCCCTTTATTGTTTTGCAGGCATTTCCTCTTATAAGGGTGTTGATGTTCTTCTCTTACAGATTTAAAGTTGTGATTACTATTCTCAGATATTATTGATATTATATATCAATTATTGTCATATTTTTTTTTTCCAAAAGCGAAAATCTCAGGCCACTTTGTCTCAGCTAAATTAGTTATGAAGACCAGTGTTTAAAGTGTCTTGTAAGCATGCGTGTGTGCATGAGTGACAACAAGACAGTCCCGTGAATAATTTGAAATCCTACCAAAAGCTATAACTGCTCCACTGTTGTGTACATTTTTGGCATCACATCGCCGCAAAATATTGCACCCTGGCGAACAAAGAACAATTGCTGTTGAAATAGGCTCTCCATTGTAAATTGAGCCAGATCATAACAGTGTGCCTTTCTTCACAGTCTGGCCTGGTATCCCACATCCCTTGCAGCCTTGTCTGACAACACACAGCGAGACATTTTGTCCTCTCATAGAGCGACTCAAGGGCACATACACCATTACACGCTATGTGTGTAGTTCAGACTAATTTGTTTTTAAATGTTCTGTTCTGTTTTCTCTCTTACTGTGACAGCGGGAGTGTGTTTCATGGTAAGCGCTTTAGGAATAACCGCTGGCGCCCATCGCCTTTGGAGCCACAGGTCCTACAAAGCCTCGTTACCATTACGAATCTTCCTAGCGACTGCAAACTCTATGGCTTTTCAGGTAAAACATTTTTAAGTGGATGAAACAATCTTTCACATTAAATAATGCAGTAAACATAATGCAGCTCAGATGGCATAGTGTTTAAAGATCTGGGCTAATAGGTTCAAACCTCACAAGAGCCAAGTGATCGCCATTGTACACTTGAACAAAGCAATTAACCCCAGGATGTCCACCTAGGATTGTCCCTGTAATAAGTGTACTGTAAGATACTTTGCAAAAAAGCATCTGCCAAATGACTACTTACACTTGAGGCCACTGTCAAAGAAACCTGGGCTTCCATACCACCTCAGCAGTGCCACAAACTGATCACCTCCATGCCACGCCGAATTGAGGCAGTAATTAAAGCAAAAGGAGCCCCTACCAGGTATTGAGTACATGTACAGTAAATGAACATACTTTCCAGAAGGCCAACAATTCACTAAAAAGTTTTTTTTATTGGTCTTATGAAGTATTCTAATTTGTTGAGATAGTGAATTGGTGGGTCTTTGTTAAATGTGAACCAAAATCATCACAATTAAAAGAACCAAAGACTTAAACTATTTCAGTCTGTGTGCATCGAATTTATTTAATACACAAGTTTCACAATTTGAGTTGAATTACTGAAATAAATGAACTTTTCCATGACATTCTAATTTATTGAGATGCACCTGTGTATATATATATATGTATGTGTGTGTACACTGTATATTATACTGTACAAAATTAATATTATATTGCAGTTTCACATTCACCTTTCACTCACTTGTACTCGATGTTGAGTATGGCAGATATGCTATGCGATGACAATAATGATTAATATATATATATCCATTTAGAATGATATCTATGAGTGGGCCAGAGACCATCGTGTCCATCATAAGTTTTCTGAGACTGATGCGGACCCACACAATGCCCACAGAGGTTTCTTCTTCGCTCACATCGGCTGGCTGCTGGTCCGCAAACACCCAGAAGTTATTGAAAAAGGACGCAAACTGGAACTCGCTGACCTAAAAGCAGATGGGGTCGTAATGTTTCAGAGGAGGTCAGTGGGAAATTGTGATATTTCATATTCAGTTTTATAAATCTTCTCACCTACACTACCATATAAATGTTTGGGGTATGTAAGATATATGTTTTTTTTATTAAATACTTTTATTCAGCAAGGATGCATTCAATTGATCGAAAGTGCCAGAAAAAACATTCATATTGCTACAAAATATTCCAATTTTAAAATGTATGTTCTTTTAAACTTTCTATTCATCAAAGAATCCTGAAAAAAATTAAGCAGCACAGCTGTTTTCAGTATTTATAGTAATAATAAATGTTTCTTGAGCGCCAAATCAGAATATTAGAATGATTTCTGAAGGATCACGTGACCCTGAAGACTGGATTAATGGCTGCTGAAAATTCAGTGTTGCCATCACAGGAATACATGACAATTAATTTTTTTTTATTTCAATAGAAAACAGTTCATTTAAATTGTAATACTATTCAAAAATATTAGTTTTTGTTGTATTTTTTTCCCTCTGTATAACAGTGGATAATAATTTATAACCGTGACCCTGAAGACTGGATTAATGGCTGCTGAAAATTCAGTGTTGCCATCACAGGAATACATGACAATTAATTTTTTTTATTTCAATAGAAAACAGTTCATTTAAATTGTAATACTATTCAAAAATATTAGTTTTTGTTGTATTTTTTTCCCTCTGTATAACAGTGGATAATAATTTATAACAGAATATAATTTAAAGGCACAATATGTAATTTTCGCCGCTAGAGGGCGTGTATTCAAAATAAAAAAAGAGACAAAGGCGTAGTTTGATGATGACGCGTGACTGAGTGTGGAATCATGGGAGTTGTGGTTTTCATCCCCACAGCCAATGCAATCCGATGGGACTCGGGCAGAAATCATGTTCATGGATGAGCTAATGATTTATTAACGTAGTAGAATGAAGTGAAACAAGGTCGCTGAACGAGCGTCATACACGGCTCCAAAGCAGCGGAGCTTTTATTATGCCACAGTCGTCCGCTTCCGCTCCTTCCGGTCGTCAGTGTATATAAAGCAGCGCTGTTTTATCATACTAGATACATTTGAAAGTTGTTATAATGCTACTCTGTGCAGTCGTCACCTGTCTAATAAAACGCATAACATATTAAAGCGTCTTTGGTGTTTCCATGTTTTCTACAAAACAAAACCGGAAATCGAGGGGTTATGACGTCATTGGCAGGCGACACAATGACACTATGGACACGCTTCGTGTCACTAGTTAAAGTTGCTTATTTCTCTGGATTTAAACATTCTTCGAAACATTTGGGATAATGTAAGTACACAAGTCAGCAAAATATATAACACTGTTCTAGTAGTTTTTGGATATTTTAATAAAAAAATCTTACATATTTTGCCTTTAATGTTGCTTTATATTGGCTTTTAAAAGTCTTCTGTTTTGATTTATATATTTGGATGTACTCAAAACTGATATTCGAAACTTTATACAATTGTGCTGAATAATTTAATGAGAATTCACTGGATGAGAACCTGCAAAGTACAAAACGGGACAAACTTTGATCCAAGTTTAGTCATTTCTTATGACCTGAAAAGGCTGTATTAGTTAACATATCCATTACACCTCGGTGACCCCGCAATTAGGAGCTGTCATCTGAACCAGGTCCCATATTTGGCACTACTGTAGGTAGTGTGGAATAATCAATATCCCTTCCCATCACTTTTAATGACATCCAACAAAAGTCCGGAGCTTTTTGATAAGAGTTTAAGAACATGTTTCATAGAATTGCTAGATAAGATAGTGGGAGAATAACTGGTTAGTCAGCATTTCACTGCATGTTGTGTTCCAGCTGAGGTTTAACAGCTGATGTTATTTCAGAAAATCTATGACATGCATAAGAAGAACATGTCACAATCATGTAGAGCAGTGATAAAATGACTATTGAAACTGTTGTTTTTGATCTTTCATTTCTATGTCCTTAGGCATTACAAGTTATCTGTGGTGGTGATGTGCTTTCTCATCCCCACGTTTGCTCCTTGGCTCTTTTGGGAAGAGAGTCTTTTGATCAGTTACTTAGTTCCTTGTCTGTTGAGATATACTGTGGTCCTTAATGCGACCTGGCTGGTCAACAGTGCAGCTCACATGTGGGGAATGAGGCCCTATGACCACAACATCAATCCCAGAGAGAACAAGTTTGTTGCCTTCAGTGCCATCGGTAAGAACAGTCTTTTCTTTTCCAGCTTAATATTAATTAATTAATTCAACTTTGTTGAAAAATGTTTAAATCATCAGGATTATTGATCAATAGAAAGAAGAACAAAATTAATTTGAAATAAACATTTTATATGTACTGATTGGAAAATATATACTTCATTTAATTTCAGGTGAAGGATTTCACAACTATCATCATACATTCCCCCATGATTATGCTACAAGTGAGTTTGGCAGTCGGCTGAACGTGACCAAAGCATTTATAGATCTCATGTGCTTCTTTGGACTGGCCAAGAATTGCAGGAGGGTAACTCGTGAGACCATCATGGCCCGTGTTAAACGCTCCGGTGATGGCAGCCACAAAAGTGGTTGATTTGTTCAGTACATATCAGAAAACAAACAAACAAAACAAGTTATAAGCCAACATATACAAAAGCATTTGCAGCATTTCTTATTGTGCAATGAAGATTGATCTATATACATTCTCATTTGAAATAAGAAACTCTAGAGTGTGTTGGACTAATATGTGTTCTTAAGAATTCTTTCCTTTTCATGAAGTGTACTGGACTGTGGGATATTATTTTCGGAGATGGTAAAGGCCATAGTTTGGAAGGATAATTATGTCTCAGTCTCAAGAGATGGTACTTTACTAGTTAAACAGCCATGTGCCTCATTACAGCCCTCTCTCATGAATAGGTTGACCCATGTTTTCTCTGGCTAAGCAGTTACTGTTCTGATTTTAAAATATCATTCCAGCGAGCTATGCAAGCTGTAAAATTAAGATGACATTCTATTAATATGCTGGCACTATTTTACATTTTCTGAAATGATAAAAGCTGATTTCCATCTAAAACTGAAATAAATTTAATGACCACCAAAAGATTTATAGGTCAGTATATGTAGTCAAATATGTGACCCTGGACCACAAAACCAGTCTTAAGTCGCTTGGGTATATTTGTAGCAATGGCCAAAAATACATTGTATGGATCAAAATGATCGATTTTTCTTTTATGCCAAAAATCATTAGGATATTAATTAAAGATCATGTTCCATGAAGATATTTTGTAAATTTCCTACCGTAAATATATCAAAACTTAATTTTTGATTAGTAATATGCATTGGCAAAAACTTCATTTGGACAACTTTAAAGGCAATTCTCTCAGTATTTAGATTTTTTGCACCCTCAGATTCCAGAATATTCAGCATTCAGATGATGTATAAATCTCAATTTCAAAAAAATTACCCTTATGACTGGTTTTGTGGTCCAGGGTCACATATAAGACTGTGCCACAGAAAATCCATGGGAAAATTGTTCTCAGTTGAGTTAAAATGTTGACTTTATGTTGAGTTTTGTTTAGAATAGATTTGTTAGTACTGACAGCATGCATGGAAATACATTTTCTGGCATTATTGATAAAATATTTAAATTTTTTATTTATTATAATTTATTTTTAGAAAATATTCTACATGCCAGTGCGAAAGTCCTCAGAGCAGTGGTGCTTATAATGAGGAATTCCCTCAAGTAAAATGAGCAATTCAGTTGATTTCTTATTGATCATTTTCCATGTTGCAAGGCTCTTTATCTGGTTTCCTTGGACTCTTGTGGTCCTGTAAAAAAGTACCTGGCAAACGACCAGGTATATGGTGAACTCTTTTCTAATTACAGATATATTGAAGTATCAAAGGACTATTTCAAGTATTATGAAAATTATTTAACCAAAAAAACAGTCTGAAAGAATTCTAGCAGATTTATTATAGGACATTTATTTGTTCTTATGATATAATCCAAGGATTGGAATATTTAATCGTCTTCATCAAATCTTGCCCTTTGCCTTATAGAATAGGCCTGGATACCTTCAGATTTTGGGTCAAAACTGAAAATACGAAGATGATTTATAGCATCAGAAAAAATATTTCAAACTTATGAAGTTTTAAGTCATTCAGGGTGGGCTCTTTTCTTGGCTCTCCTGTGACGAATGAATGATCCCTACATATATTTTTTTTTAGATTTATTATAGGACATTTATTTGTTCTTATGATATAATCCAAGGATTGGAATATTTAATCGTCTTCATCAAATCTTGCCCTTTGCCTTATAGAATAGGCCTGTATACCTTCAGGTTTTGGGTCAAAACTGAAAATACGAAGATGATTTATAGCATCAGAAAAAATATTTCAAACTTATGAAGTTTTAAGTCATTCAGGGTGGGCTCTTTTCTTGGCTCTCCTGTGACGAATGAATGATCCCTACATATATTTTTTTTCCCATAAATGTTTGATAGGTTGATATGGGTATGCATTTTTCCAAATACAAAAAATAAATATATTCTCACCAAATGCTATATATATTTAAAACGTACACCCATGTTTAAGAAGGAAACACAAATTGACACAATTTTACAGCTCAATTATTTATACAGTGTTGACCTTTGATGTCTGAGAGCCTTAATGGGCACATTTTCAAGGAATGTTGTTGGTACCATAAACCAACATTTCTATAAGTGGCTGAGTTTTGCGAATTGTACCGTGAGTTTTATGAATCAATATTAATCTTTTCTTAATTTAATAAATTGTGTGTATATCTGAAAATGTAGTCTCAGCAAGCCTTCCTTTGTAGTGTTGACCACAGTTTATATTCATAAGCGGGTGAGACCACCATGTCAGTTTTTAAAGAAAAATTAATAGCTACAATTTATCCGATGATTTAAACGGTCACCCGTGCGTGAAAATGATAGCGGTGCATTAGCTTCGTGAAAAATGTCTTCACAAAATATAGTATTTTGACTGTATTTGATTAATGGTTTTATATAGCCCAAAATTACAAAAACAAAAATCATAAAAATAGATTAATTAATTAGGCCTAATTTATTTATTGAAATCTGAACCTGCATTACTAAATTCCTGATTTTTAATTGGTAGTTTTGTTTATATTTCAGCTGCGAAAGAATAACATTTTTTGGGAGTAGTTAATTAAGTCTAAAGTAGGCCAAGTAATTAGTCTAAGTAAAACGGAGATTGCGCATCGTTTTAAAATAAAGAATATATTCATTTTGGAACGTTTCTTTTATATTTTTATCAGTAGCCTGTAATGTACTCACAGTCAAATTGACCAAACAGAGGATTTAGAAATGAATTTAGAAATCTCTTTATAGCGGCAAATGTCTCATGGAAGCTTTTCAGAGCGTAATCCAAAAACATCCCTCTGGAATCTCCCAAATAACTTTCCTAATCCTAATTTGCAAACGAGAAGATACGCGGACGTCAAAGAAGCAGAACCTAAAGGTCATGAAGGGTCAGCTAAGGACTAAAATGAGAGAAAAGGTAAAATAACACTCTAAAAAAGTGTCATGAAGTCCTGGGGCAAAAAAACCTCGCAAACAATCGTATTGATTATCCTCCTTATTTATAATTATATGTAAATCTAATTCAACTCCTCACGCGCATGGATTCAGCTTTGCTGCTTTGAAACGTAAGTTTAACGGAATCAAAAATTGATGAAAACTATTTCTATTTTAATAAATGTTTAAACTATTTTCATTGAATCCATTTATTTAAACGTAGCCTAGCCTACTGGCTAAATTGGTAAATTGAATCTAACATGCTTAATATAAGCTCCTCAAAATAACATTTGTCGTTTGATCCAGCAGATAATGTCAGTAATCCCAGAGCTTTATCAGCCACTACTGTATCAAACCCTTTCATGCAGCTCTTGAAATTGAGTTTTAAGGCACAACCTTAGAGATGCCATCCTGATTTCATATGAATTCACTCCAACTGTTAGCACGCGGAGAGCTCTTACCAGCTATTTGTCCTGGAGGAGCCCAGGGTGCCCTTTTGATCATTTCAATCTCTCTCTGGTACAATAGTTCTGATTGGCTGAACGAGTAAGAAAAGGGAAAATCTTTAATTAAGCAGATAATCTCTTGTTGGGATGAGAGGAGCTCCATTTCAGAACCCCCTTGGCTCACACATGAGACCCCCAGCCTCTGAATTCTGGATGTAGGTTATATAGAGCTCTTGCAGACCCCACTGCTTTCCAAGGTGAAGAAAAGTCTGCCAGTCGCCTCTCTCAGGATGTTCATGCATTTGGAGGTTTATTATTACGCTTTCATCCTGATGGCTCACATGAAGTCTTGCTGCAGTTGGTGAGTTCAGCGTTTTATTCTCCTTTAAGCAGGCGATGTTGATGCTAAATTTAGCCTATTTATATCGAGCGTTTAACCTACATTCTGTGTTTATCTCTGGATCTCTGGATTAAAAAACCGGGATGAAACAGACACTTAAACACTAATCAAAGTAAAGATGCTTTGATAACGATGCTTTGAGCCTCGTTTCATTGATTAGAGGGGAAAAAAACCCGAAACGCTATGTTCTCATTTATAAACTTCTCATTATATATATGAAAATCGTTTTTTTACCAAAGAAAATCTGTATGTATGTATATATATATATATATATATATGTATGAAAATCCAATGAAACCTTTCATTTTGAGACTGTAATTGCCATATAAGCATGTACTTAAGGTCAGTAACCTATGTAATTAGATAAAATGATGTTTTAACAATGTGAAGCTTTATTTGTAATTTCAAGGGGAACATATACAAGTTATGGGTCAGCTGATTTATTAGGCTGCTCTATCTTCCAGGTCAGTGAATAATTTCCTGATGACTGGCTCAAAGGTAAGCCAACGTCTTTTGATCTGCTTTGCTGATCTTTATCAGGAGAGAGAAACTTCAAAAAGTCAAAATCATTTATGGATTGGGGTAGTTAATGTTTGACGGTGACCCTGTGATCACAATGCAAGCAAGTGGCAAATTAAAAGATTCGTGCATCACAGGTGCTGTATTTCTTGAAAGGGTATCTTCTGTGGAATAGGTATTACTTGCTGCTTGGGGTGGACAGGACCATATAGCTTTCACACACTTCAGCTCATTCACTATGTGAAGTTGTGAGGACTTTTTACTGAGTGGCAAGGGAAGGGGCCTTTGGTGGGTGGTCATCATTAGCAACCCAGCCGCCCATGAGAGCACTTGTGGTGCTGTCTCTTCTAAACCACTTGAGACATATTAGATTGTATAAACTGCAGTTTCACAGCCACATAGACCCTTTTTGTTTACTTATTTTTGTGCATTTCTTGTGGAACGCAGGAAAAACATTTACCCCAATATTTCTAATATTTAAAACTTTAATATTAATTTTAAAATTATTTTAGGAATAATGCTATCATTTTGAAGTTTTTTTTAAAATATAATTTTATAAATGAATATACAGCAAACATACATTTTACACCACTTGGGCACCATAGGGAAACATTTACCCTAATATTTCTTATATTTAAAACTTTAATATTAATTCTTAAATTATTGTAATAGAAGTAATGGTGTCATTTTGGTGCTCTTTTAAAGGGTTATTTTAATATCAGTGAGATACTTTTATTAGTTTTTATTTTCTGTTATAACTTTTGTTAAAGTTTTTGTAATTTTTATTAGTCTTTGTTTTTTAATGTCTACATAGTTTTTATTATTATTTAAGTTTTAGTTATTTTAGTACATCAAGTTAAACTACATGAAAATGAGAAATGTTTCCTTGAACTTGCTGAATTAAAAGGTTTATATATATATATAATATAAACCTTTTAATTTATGTTTAATTATATTATATAAACCTTTTAATATATATTTTTATTTCAAATGACAAAATGTGTTTCTTTGGCTTTAGTTTAAAAAATATATAATTTATTAAATGAATATACAGCAAACAATCATTTTACACTGTAGAACCATAGGGAAACGTTTACAGTAATATTTAATATTTAAAACTTTAATACAACTGCTAAAAGGATTTTTATAGACATAATGGGGTCATTTTACAGCTTTTAAATTTTTTTAAACATCATTATTTAATAAATTATATATGAACTGTGCAGGCTGACAATTAAAAGCATCTAATTTTATCATTAG